CCTTTTCAGGAGTGCCACCGAGCCATTGGTTCAGATATGTTGACGACTTGATAGAGAGGAACGTTGGTTTGAGAGAGGAGTAAAAGAAGCTACAGTATTTTTGTGAAGAAAGACCGTCCATCATTAAACAGAGGTGGAGGCCTCCGTTTTCAGTTGTCCCCCTCCTACAGCGCTGCTATTGCCAGTATCACTCCACCCCCTGTTAACATTAGGTGTTAATTAGGTGTCAACGATAGCCATGTGATGTATCGGTCACATGGAGGCAGGGCTTAAAAGCCTGAATTTTGCCTGAAACTCTTAGACTGAAGAAGTATCTTGGAGAAGAGATGAAACGTTTCATTAAAGAACCCGTCCAGAAGATCTATACAATATTTTTCTTTTTGAGTTTTTACCTGGATTACTGAGATGCATCAGGATATATCATAAATCTCGTTTTATTTGGAAGTAAATAAAAACAATATCAATAAAAAACACTTTTTATTGAGTTTGAAGTCTGTGCTATCCAATCCAGCTGAAATAAATGTTCAACATGCTGTCATATTTATAACAGAAAACCTTTAAATGCATCACGTGTACCAGAGCCGGCGTTGACCTCAGAGGGTTAAGAAACTTTGTGAAATTTCCGCACACTTGYCCTTTGAATAAAATTTAAGCTCTTTTTTATACTTCTGTTTAGGCACAGCCCCTTCTTGTTTACAGTGCTTATCAAAATGGACAAAGCTTTGATTTTCATGGGTTAATTTTAAGTAATTTTTTATTTATTATTTTATCAGTTTCAAGTTATTTCAGTTCTCATTATTGTGGGCTTTGCGTTCTTCAGATGGGTATCAGCAATTTTGTCCACAAGTGTATTGAGAATGGACAGATCATTAGCACTATGKGAATGACAGATAAGTTACTGCTATTGAGCAAAAATTAGTTGTGGTAGTAATCAAGAGTCATTCCCAACATACTCTAATCATTAACTGTGTTAACCAATTCTTAGTTTACAACTGAGCCATTAAATACTGACGTCAACTGTTTGTTAGCAAAATATTTCATAAACCACTGATCAAATTTTTATAAAAAAAAACAGAGTAATCGAGTGTACATTTATAACAAATTACTGAATTACCAAATCAGAACAGCCACCACAGTCAACTGACCTTATAAAACAGAGTTGTTGTTACTCAGTCACTTTTGCAGATACTGTGCTCAGTTAGGATGTTGTCGTAGCTGAGGATCATTTCCAACTTATATTCTGAGGATCTTGCATCATTGGGTGAGATCAAACATAATGTAACCTTCAAAGTTTGACCAAAGTAGATTTAGCTCTGTCATTTCTCAACGTACAATAAACCTTTGATGTAACATGGCAGGCTAAAATAAAAAAATAAAGTCAGAGCATTTTATCAAGAAATGATATGCCTTTATTTAAATTTTTGAATCTTGACCTGAAAACAAAATGTCTAAAAAGGCAAAACATCAATTGAGTGTTCCAACTGAGTGATTGGGTAGAAACAGATATCAGATTGTCTTTGTTGTTGTTGGTTTTTTTTTTCAGCCTGCAGTGAGGCACGAGGCATGTAATGGCCTCTACAAGCTCTCTCTTTCTGGCTTGGAGAGTGGTGAGACCATCAACAGGTCCTTCCTGCTGATTGCTGCATCTACGTTGCTCAAGTTCCTGCCTGATGCTCAGGCCCTCAAACCTTTGAAGGTGGGTCTTGCATGAATAGACGCAGATATTTTGGAACATAAAGGCATGTTTGCAAGCTACACTCTGTGTCAGTAGTCCTCGGGACAATGATCTGACTCAATTTGTGCTTTGCTAGACTAAATCCAATTTGCTTCTGTGAGACATTGTCCTTGCAGTGAGATTAATGTCAGAAATACTGGAACACAGAGATGAACCTGCAGCAGCTATATAATGTCTCATATTTTCATTAGGAGTTAAATCATTGAGATAATTTGCAGGTGGATGGTTATGAAGAGGAACCTTTGTTGAGGACTGGCTGTAAAGAATACTTCTGGCTGCTCTGCAAACTTATTGATAACATCCACGTTAAAGACACCAGCCAGGTAGGAATGTCACACTGCTGTCCTAATGTTAATGCTTGATCGGTAGCCCAGTTTCTTACATAGACTTTGCTGRGTGTTGTAGGTGATTGATCCACATTTTCTCACTTCAAATCCAATACCTAGTTTTGGTTATTGGCCGAAGCTGACTCTCTTCCAATACCAGAGATGCTGCTATAATAATAATAATAATAATAATAATAATAATAATAATAATAATGTTGTTGTTGTTAATGTCATCATCACAGTCATCATCATTATTATTATTTAATATTGTTATTGTTGATTTTAAATAACTTAAGGTCGTATTCACACCAGGAAAGTTCTTTGGTCCGCTTGTTTGGTCCTGACCAAAAGTGGACTTTATTTTTTTCGTTTGGTGCGGTTTGCATTCACATTGTGCTTTTTTTGCAAATGAACTATAAGTTGTAAACAAAGCCATGAGGGTGACGATCATTGCTCCCATTGGACAGAAAGGACGGGGGGCGGGACTGAGCGCACAGACCCAGAAAAAACATGGAAGTCCTGCGTGCTGCGGTTTTGATGTACACATTTTTGCTGTTAGTACAACTGCAATAGCATTCAAAATGTCAAAAGCAGCTAATTTAATTAATTTAATGTTGGTTTCGCGATGATATACTAATTTTGGAGGGGCATCAGTAAACGTGGGACTCAACCCAAACGAGATGAGGTGCTCTGCAGGTTCTGACCCGCTACATGATAGCAGCAGAGCTGCTAACAGGAGACGACAAATCAGGTATGATTTCAGTTTATTTAGCTCAGCAACGGTGGCCTGTGAAGTCCAAAAGGGCGCACGTTTTACGTAGTTGGTTCGGTTCAAATCCGGTCTGTATTCACACCAGACGCAAACTGAAGCGGACCGAGACCACCTCAAAAAGCAGGTCTCGGTCCGGTTGTTTGATCTGCACCAGAGTTCGCATGAGTGTATTCACACCTGCACCAAAGGTCTGGACCAACGCTGGAAACGAACTGGTTTGTTTAAAACGGAGCAAATGTATCGGGTGTGAATACRACTTAAAATAAAAATATAAACAGTAAAATTCATAAGTATGTACAAATTTAACAAAACTTCCTCAAACAGAAGCAGCAATTCCACGTTCAAAAATCGCCTTGTTTTGAGCTCAAAACACATTAAAACTGACTAAATAGTGAACACACTAAACCACACCTTAATTATGAAATCCAAACACTAAATATCACAAATTTCTCAAATCTGATTACTCATACTCCCTCCGGAGCTGAATAGTCGATACTCTGGGAAACCCCTTCTGCTGCAGCATACGTCACTAAAGGGCGGTTYCTCCTAAATGATGTGGAAAAAAAGTCAGAGACCCATCATCCGATGTTATTTAAACACAAATCTGTCCCGGTTAAAGCTCCAAAGTTTTTATCAGATAGATACCAAAAAATGCCTGTTTTTCATGAATTTTTGGCCTTTGACTATGTTTATAAATCACTGCTTCCYGATACAACAGTCAGTGAGTTGTTTGTTTTATTGTCTGAGAGCTCTCAGCCTGAACAAACACTCCTACGAACTTCTAATCAATCACAATAAAGTTCTTATGTGGAGGGGGGTAAAGGCTCCTGCATGCTGCTGCCGAACTGCCAAAATCGTGCCAAACTGTCACAGTTTTATGACGAAAATTGCGTCACTTCTKTTTGCATCGTCGGCATTTCTTGTCACAACCCGCGGGTTGAACTTTTCACCCCCCTCCACATGAGAACGCATACGAACTGTGTGGTGTGATTGGTCAGAAGTTCCTGGGAGTTTTGTTTGTGCTGAAGGCAGTCAGACGCTGCATTTGCTTCAAACACTCKCTTCAAWAAAAGAARGGRAAAAAAAAGAAGAAAAAAGCGATCGCTTCCACAGCTGATTGTTGTACGATGAAGMAGCAATTAAGATAGTCAATGGCCAAAAACTCATAAAAGGGGATAAAACAGACATTTTTCGAGGCGGAACCTGACTGATAAAAACTTTGGAGCTTAATCTGGGACCAGTTTGTGGATAAACGTCGAGTGGAAGAGCCGCGGACTTTTTTTTYCCCCGTGTTGGACTCCCCCGGGAAGGAATCCCATGCAGTGACGTATACTGGAACAGGAGGGGTTCCCCAGCAGCTCGGCTGGGGGTGTCTCGGGAATTATGAAAGGTCAGTGCGAAAACGAGCGCTGAACAACCACGTGACGGCGCGTCGACCAGTCGACTGCCGAGCGAGTATACTGCCAGCTTAAGAGGTTCAACCCACGGGTTGTGTCAAGAAGCTGCCGAAATGTTGACAATGTGAACAGAATGACACAGTTTTCATCATGAAACTGTGACAATCCGAACCCTTTTCGGCAGTTCGGAGGGAGTATGCAGGAGCCTTCACTCCTGCTCTCCATCGCTGCCAAACTTTATCTAACTTTTGCATCTTATTATTTTTCCTGCTGCAGAACTTTTGGCGCTTGACAAAAAAGTTCACGCCCCTGTCAGAAAGGAGGGAGATGGTTGTTTAAGACTTGGAGAAATTTGGGAATTCTTTTTTCCATAAGTCTACCCGTGTTTTATGTTGCCTCGCACTCTTCTCGAGCTGCAGCAACAACGCATTTCAAAMTGACGATCATTTACAGAAAAAAAAAAACGTGTTGGATATTTTTTTATCAAACTCTTCAGTTCAACATTGTAAGAGTTCAGTCTTGCAACTGAACAAGTTAYAAGGTTATATTATTTAGCCAGGATCTCTTTTATTTTCGGTAAAATATTACTCCTGTGCAAAATGAATGGACACACAAAAGTGACTGTCAGTAAGTGAATTTTGATTTGATCCATAAAAATTGGGATCATTTATTTTGCAAATCATACGAAATCACTAAGTGCATTAATTGTGGCAATCACTTTCCTATAAAAGTTTAAGGGACCAACAATAACAAGTGCTTCAGCTTCTTAATTGTTAACCACAGACACTTTAAATAGAAACACAAACGTCAAGCTTTGATGTTTAATACCAGAAAATTTGAGGCAATTAACAGGTTGACAAGGTAGRAAAAGGAGGAAAGTAAGATGTTAGCTTTTCCCTAACTTTAATCTTAAATAAATGTGGGTTTAACCAGAAGGGCAAAGCGTTCTACTCAGCGTTCAGCCAGACAGCGAAGTTCATAACAGCCAGCTTTTTACCTTTAAAAATGATGTCTGTCCAGGTATTTCGGGGTGCTGCTAGACAATCCGTCTTMAGACTGTCAACCAGGGGACCCTCGAGGCATGGTTTCAGACTTGCTTTGTCCGCGTCAAGCCGTAGAAAAGAAGGCGAAGCCAAAACTGGAAAACCGACTTCAAAATAAAACTTCTGTCTGGAAAGTTTTCTTAAAGTGTATCTTACCCCCCTGTGAAAAGATAACTCCGCCCCAAGGCGAAATTTGAAAAATGCATCAAAGTGGGTAGGGAAGGGGGTGTGGGTGTGGGTAGGGGAAGTGGGGTTAGAGAGCGGAGGTGTGGTCAGGACGAGAGAACGTGACAGCTAGCATTAGCATAATTGATGCTACATGGAAAGTGACCACTAGGCCTGTGTATTGGCAAGAATTTGGCGATACGATACTTATCATGACAGAGGGGTCACGATACG